TTTTTTATTCTGTATAATCGTATGTATTTTAAAACTATGATGATGACACAAGTTTCCTTTAGTAGATTTGGTTTGCATGACTTTTCTCCCACTTAAAGGTACATTATAAATAACAACTAGAGAAATTTCAGTTTATTTAACATATATTCAATCCAATTCTTGCTAACCAATTGTATGGTCAAATCTAATTAAATTTTTTCATACTTGAACTCATTTGACAAACTTCATTAATTCAAAGAACATTATGCGAACCAAACACTAACAATTTTTTAATTTTGAAAATTTTAACATTAGTTACAGTGTTAAAATATTCGATACATTTAATGTCTCTGCCAAATTTTCAAACAAACACTTTATAAAATGTTATTTTTTCATTTAACCTCTTGAAAAATAGACTTCACAAAAAAGCAATTTGTAGACATTCTGTAGTGTCTAAAACAACTTTTACAAAAAAATTGTAGGATTAACTCAATTGACAATAAACTTTGGATCTTCATAATGCTCCTGAAAAATCACTGCTTTGAATCATTGGGTCCTTAAGATTAGTCGAGGTGTGTACAAGTTGACTGAATACCCATAGTTTAAAAAAAAGATCTCCAAATATGAAGAATGACTTTCAAAACAGTGTTCCTACTTCTTACCCAAATTTCAACATAACCAATTTCTGGAGTCAGGATGTTACGTTATCGTAGTCATTTATGAAAAAAATAGTTAACGTCTTTAATTTCTCGAATATACATGTTATGTTATAGATGTTACACCTCAATTTTTAATAGAATAAAAGTGGAAATATATGTTTGTATTTTGGAAGAAGATTTCAAATAACATTTAACTTCAAATTGCCAATAAAAGTTTTGATATGTTTCATGAAATATATCAATGATACAACTGTATCTAATTTCTTGAGTTCAACTAACCAATCAATTATGTAACATAAAGTTAATAAAGAGAATTATAAAGCGATCGGGAACATAGCTGCTCACATTATTGCAAATGAGTCGTGTTTTTATTTTGATTGTAACGATAGAGAACTTTCTCTCCCTCAAAACCTTGTTTTGATCTAGATAATCTTGAATAAACTTTGTCCTTACTTTCAAAATAAAATAAAAAGAGAGTTGCTAATATATATATATATATATATATATATATATATATATATATATATATATATATATA